CAGCAGTAGTAGTAGTAATAGTAGATGTTTCAGCATCGTCATGATGTGACGTTTATTAATAATACATAGCAATAAACCTATCGTCGGCTTTCAATCACAGAGTTTACATAATGATCGTAAGCATGCAAGTACGTTGTGAACAATTATTTGAAACATTCCAGAAATTTTAGTTATTTCATTTTCATACCATTTCTGTTTGGAATTATTCTTAAAATTTGGGTAAGAATTTTTTTCATGGCTGAAAAATAAAAATAAAAATATATATATAAACGAATGCTTTTCCATTTAAAAAAACAGATAAAACATTTTAGTATTATCATTATTATTATTATTAGTAGTAGTAGTAGTAGAAGTTGTTGTAGTAGTAGTAGTAGTTGTTGTTGATGTTGTTGTAGTTGTAGTAGTAATAGTAATAATAGTAGTAAGAGTTGTTGTTGTTGTTGTAGTAGTAGTTGTAGTAGTAGTAGTAGTTGTAGTAGTAGTAGTAGTGGTAGTAGTTTAATATTAGTAGTAATAGCAGTATTAGTAGTAATAGTAGTAGTAGTAGTAGTGGTAGTAGTAGTGCTGAAAGTAGTAGCGAAAGCAGCAGCGGTAATATTAGTAGTTGTAGTGGTAGCATTATCAGTAATATTAATAATAAATAATAATATTATGATTAATATTTATGTTCAAATGATTAATAACAATAATGGAAATAATATGGGAACCACACACGTAACATCACATCAACTTAAATGACATCGTTGAAATAATTATTACATCAATGACATTAAGGTTGAGACAAACAATATAAACTAGAATATAGACTACAACATGATCTAGCTCATAAACTGAAGCACATACAACACAGACAACAACTCAGACAATAACACAGACAACAACTCAAACTCCAACACTGACAACAACACAGACAGCATTATTTACATTAGCACAAAGAACAATAAAAACATTAGCATAGACATACAACAACATAAACAATAGCATATACAACAACAACACCGACAACAACAACATTAACATCTACGCAAAAAATAACAGAAACATCAATACAGCATCAACAACAACATGAACAACAGCAAAATAAACTTAATCCTTTAGAATAACAACTCAAACTACTCAGACAAAAAACACAGACAATAAAAAAAACAACAACATATAACAACAACACAGATAACAACAAACAACACACATAGCAACTAAACTTACAACTCAATTAAAACTATAACATTTAGTCAGAAAATAACAGAACAGACAGTAACAATTAAAAAAACGGAGCAACAACGTTAATTACCTATCAAACAGACAACAACACAAACACACACAAACAACAACACAATTGACAACAGATCAAAACACGTCACGATCCTTTGTAGAAAGATTATAAATTATGAAGACGGCGATGTCACTGATGACAATGACAATGCTGATGGCTACGATGATGATGAACTTGCTCGACGTTCATTGCAAATATATGCAATATTATGAACCCGTACGCCTCCACAAAAATCACCACCACCACCACCATCACCATCATCATATTTCCAACTCGTACGATCAACATCAGCAACAATTATATGAACAACAACAACCGCAATATTATAATTCTGGAGCTGATGACGATGGTAATAATGGTGGTGATTCTTATCGCGATCAACCGTATGGCAGAAGACAACGCGTTAGGAATGTCCGTGGGTAAGTTTTCTGGTATTTTGCATTTAAATTTAAAAGTGCCTGATCTGGCGTTGAAGTAACCGAGTTCGAAGGCAAAGTTATCGCGCCTAGCATATGCAAAGTGTGTTTATTTACGTGCGTTCATATCATTGTACTTTTCATAAAAAAAAGTGTTGTTACATTTGGAACGTTGTTGTAGCTTTCTATTACAGTAGAAATGTTTTCCATTGTATTTTATGAATTTTGTATAACGAAAAGCGTTCTGCGTTGCATTTTTAGCGTAACTCAAAAACGCAACTGCAGAGAAAAACAGCGCGAGAGTTTTGAAGAGCAGGAGAGAGAACAAAAAATGTTTAAGACAGTCAGTAAAAATTAACTGCCATGTCAACTTACTCTAAACTTATATTGATAGAAAAATGCACATGCACATAAGAACGTCATGCATTCAAAAGTGCCAGCTATTAAGCGATCATCTACATGCATGCACGCATACTTTACACGCACATATACACACTTGTACACGTACACACACCTTGTACACGTACACACACATACATACAATCAAAAAAAAACAAATACGAATAATTACATCAAAACAAACCTCCACAAACACACACACACACACACACAAATACACAAACACATACAAACAAATACAATACAGAAATACAATACACACACACATAACACATGCACACGCAAACAACTAAAATACATAAAATACTAACACACACACACACTCACACAATACTTAAAAACTCACACTCATGCACTCACACACAAACAAATACAATACTAAACACTAACACACACAGACACACACGTACACAATATTATACACATTACAAGATTAAGCTTGTTGAAAGACTGACTGACTGTCTTCAACGATAGATTTACGATTTTTAAAGAGATTATCTCATTAAACACACTCGTATGCGCCTGTTTGCTTTAATAATTATCATAAAAATTATTAATAATTTTTTGTTTTGTTTTGTTGTCATAATTATCGATATTATTATTATTCATTATTATATTTATTTAATTATTATTTAATTTTTAATTTGAATAATTATATTATATATTATTAATATAAAATTAAAAGGGCAGCAAACGGCGTAGCATGTCATGACGAAACGAAAAGAAGTCTTATCGAGTTGATGACATCTTACAATCCAAATATTGTTAGTACTGTTGTGTGTGTGTGTGTGTGTGTGTTTCTATCTGTGTGTGTGTGTGTGTGTGTGTTTCTATCTGATATCTGTGTGAGTGTATATGTGTGTGTGTGTGTCTGTGTGTGTTTTGTGTGCGTGTTTTGTGTGTGGGTTAATTTTTTTTATATAAAAATGAAAGTATGCTAAATAACATGACGCTTTTAATCAGAAATTTTTTTAAAGTTGATTTTAGATATTTAAGTGAAATTTTAATGTGAATAAAAAAAATCTTTAAACAATAAAAAAAAACTCATTATATTTGCATATTAAAAATGTTAAGATATGACGCCGAGTGCGATAAAACGCAGATTAAACAATCTTTCAAGCGAGGATTTTGTTGAAACCATTCAGAGAGAGAGAGAGAAATATAATATATAATATAATGTATTGCAAATTTCACTGCGAAGTGATTTTACATAAATAGCTATATAACTAAAGCTATGTTTATGCATTAATGTGGTCAAAAAACATTAAAAATTATATCTTACTTTTCAAAAATTAATCTCATTTAAAATTGTAAAAAATTGTATGAGGCAATTAAAATCAAATTTTAATAAATAATTCTTTATAAGAATCAAATCTAATTTTGACAGTGAGACTGTGAATTGGTTAAACGTAAACAAACAAACAAACTCAAACATATCATAACGCAGACCAACACGCACTTACACGCATTAACCCACACACACACACACACAAATTTACCTATTAGACCACATTACAAAGACTGAAGTAGTCGCACACAAACACAGACGCAGACACAAACACAGACAGAAACGCACACAAACTCAATAAACATCTCTCAAGCCACTGCATTCACAAAATTGCATGGTATGTGTAAATAATAGAACCCAACTTAAAGACCGGTAAAAAAACTATTGTCACGCACTTTATAGAGCTGCACGCACAGTTATTTAAACGAGACGACTTTTTGTTTTCTGGCGTCAATAGTTTATTATTAAGATCAATTAAGGCTCATTATTTTAATTGTTTCAATGAAATTATTTTTTATTAAAATAAAAAAAATTAATTTTATGTAGTGCCTTGTCTACAAGTTTGCACTAAACACAATAAAGTCGTTGAATTAAGCTACTACTCTTTCAGTATTCAACTAAGATATTAATGTTCATCATTATTTAAAAGCCTTTCGCAGTAAATTAAACTTAGACAGTACGATGGTGAAAAATACAAAGAACGCACATTAATAACACAATACGTTGTGTTCGATGTTTGAATAGTGGTATTGTTTTGTAATAATAACGTAGCGCAAGCTTTATAACATCATACCCAGTCTCAATTGCTTTAAAAATAACATTACAGATTTGTGAGAGGCTTTTAAAATCTTTCATCATTTACCGGTGTATTTGATTTGAATAGTGTACTACAATATGTAGTGTGCTAGATAGTGTGCTATAGAGTGTACTACAATATGTAGTGTACTATATAATGTACATATTGTACTACATAATATACCATATATTGTTCTCTATAGTATCGTATTGCATTGAATAACGCTACACCGAAATTACAGAATTCAATATAAACATGATATACCTGAGAATAAAATTTTGAAAATCAAATACCTGAACGCATCAAAATGATTTACATAACAACTGAACAGTTATTGACATAGGCGCATTAAGGTGCGTGACGGAACGAAAGTTTACACTGCTTGGATAACAATTGTTTGAAAAATACATTACAGTACAACATGCACGTATACAAACTATATAAATACTCAGACATACACACATACACAAACATAAACATACGTGCACACAATGTACAAACTCATATATATACGCAAATGCACGCACACACACACACTCACACATACACGCACACATATACACAAACTATATACAAATTCATATATACAAACATACGCACACATAAACAAACATCTACACCTACACACAAACACAGACAGGCACAAACACACACACTCACGCACAAACACACACTTTAGAAATACGACACCTTATGGGGCATGGACGGCATAGCATCCAGTAGCGCAAACTGTTTAAAAGAGTCGGGATTCTACCAGGAGACCACTGTAAGCTACCACCAACAGCGTACCATGTTCGTCAATGTATTCATCCTGACTGGAGCGGAGTATATGGAGAGTGCGGAGGAGACCATCATGGAGATGGAAGGGGTCATAAGGAGCTGGAGGAATGATTACGAGTGGAAAAACTTTCTCGGAGATTTGGTTGGATTTGTCACTAACTTTTGATATAATTCCATCAATGTTATAATAGCGAATTTTGCATAGTTATGTATAATGTTGGTGTGAAAACATTTTACGACGTAAAAGGTATTAGAATAAGTTTTGACTGGACTGAAAATTAAAATTTTGGAACAATTTACATGTAGATATCTTTTTAAATTCACAAATTTTCTTTAAAATTATGAATTTTTTTTGCATATTTCAAATTAAAATGTCAAATTTGACAGACGTTCTTTAAAATTACGGTAAAATATTTCGGCATATTTCAAATTTAAACGTTGAAATTCTCAAATTTCTTTCCAGGCGAACAACGAGGAGGTTTTCGGCTGTGCACTGCAGCCAAGATGCAGTGGTCCATCGCACGGACAGGCTGTCAGCGGTCACGCTCTGGCATGCGCTTTCAGTAACAGGTCTCTACCTGCCACATCATCACATCATCACATCATCTCACACCTATAATTTTTCCTCATTCTTTCTATTAAAAAGCTATTGTTGAATTAGATATTTATCATTTTTACTAATTTTTTATTTAAAAAATTTTTAATTAATTGGTTATTTTAGTAACCATTGTTTTATAATTAATTGCTAAGTTATATTTGTTTTCTCTTTCTCTTGCTTTCTATTCTCTCTCTCTCTTTTTTTCTCTCTCTCTGTGTCTCTCTGTGTGTGTGTGTGTTTCTGCGTATGATAAAACACTTAAAAATATTTGACACAAACAACGTGAAGTTTTGTGAAAGTTGAACTTTCTCAATAAGAGTTACTAAATTAGTGCAAATTATTTTCCGATAATAATAATTTATATAACATCTTTGCCTATCCGAATTAAATGTAACAGATTATTTTTAAAATCTTTCCTAAATTTTTGGCCACACAGCAAAGCCAACAAGCATTACACACCAGATCTGATTCCCGCGGTTTTGATACGATACCCTAACCCACAGAACCTGCCCCCCGTCAGAACACCACCTATTCCGGCCTACACTATCTCACCGATCAGATATGGAGATCCCAGAGGTTTTTTGTTATTTTAATTGTACATTAGTACTTGTAGAAGTACTACATTGTTTACGGTTCATTATTTGAACGTTCTAGTAGCTCAGTACTTATGTTTTCTACTAGTACAATACATTCTAGTACTGTTGTACTTTTGATTTATTAATGGTAATTAATACACTTTAGAAAGGGCGTAACAATGGTTTATAAACAAATCCACTCACTCACTGCTCTACACTGAGTACCATTTATTTAGTCCGTTTAAAAAATATTGGGAAAATTTATTTATCATTTGAAAAAAAAATGATATTTTGATGTGGAACAAAGATAAAATGTAACTTATTTGTTTTGTTAAAATCTTAAAGGGAGAGCTTTTACTGATGACCAGAAAGAACGCGCCGCCCAAGAGTTGTCTGATGTTAGCGAGTTGAAACTTTTTTTTTATTATTATTCTTTAAAAATCAGGATCTGACAGACGCAGAAACTGTAACAACATGCAAGGCAGTAGAACATAGTTAAACAAATAAGTGAGAAAATAAATACAAAAAGTGAGGAAGAAAAATTATAAAACATGAAAAATAAAATATGTTAGAATAAAATAAATAATAATAAGAAGAAAAATAAAGGAAAAGTAATTGACGATGGAATATAAAATGAAGTGAAGTTTGCTTGTTTAACAACAATTAACATAACGTGATCTTGTGAAATAATACCTGATATAAAGTTATGAAATTGATTATGTTAATATTTATTGTGTATAAAGTTTAGAATATTTTCATGATTTAAATAGTTTAAATGGTGAAAACGCCATAACATAATATACAGTTGCGTATTGTTGAGTTTAGACAGACACGAATGCATGTTTTAGAATTAAAGATTACATAAAATTTTCGAATAATATGATAATAATCATACAAACTTAATTACCACACAATCATACACTGTAATATCATATATCATGTAAAGATAATGAGACCTCATTGTTATAATCAAGATACAATTCATCATGCGTTATGTATTTTCGCTAGTATATTAAAAAAATAAACTAAATAGTATCTTCTTTCAAACGCAGCACCACAAGCGTCTCATGTTATGGGACAACACGTTGGAAAACCTGTCCGGGCTCTACATGACCTGTGAGAATGCTCCATTTCCATCTCACGATCACAGCTCATACAAATACACAAAGGAGATCGAAGATGCCAAGAGAAAGGGCTACAAAGAACCGTCGGGCTGGTACGGGGTAGAACAGAATGACGGAACCACCCAACACCCTTTGGAAAATCTCATCCACGAAGTGACTGTGGTCAGTTTTAGCGTTTCACTGATTTTAACTTTAACTGATCGTCGTGTTGTTTTATTAGAGAATGTAGATTTTAATTTATTTTTTCAGCGTCCTAAGTAATGGTCACTAAAATTTATCATTTTGTTGTTAGCTAGCTATTGCTACGTTTTAATGATCAACACAATTCATAAAAAGACGTATTAAAGCCTAATTTTTGTTGATGAAATAATAAATCCTCATTTTAAATATCCATACGCTTACACACACTAAACACACACACACACACACACACGCACGCACACACACATACACACATGCACACCAACAGCCAACAGTTTCGACCTACTTTGGCTGCTCCGTCTACCCGGCCTGTCCCAGTTCTCGCGGCGACATGTACGTGTTGGTCTCCTGCTTGTTCTCTCAGTAAGAGCACCAAAGAATAAAAAATCACAAAATAATACACTTAATCATAACTTAAATATGGACGTGTGGGTGTTTTTATGTGTTTGTTTGTGTGCATGTATGAGTGTTTGTTTGTGTGCGTGTATGTATGTGTGTGTTTAATTGTTTTTTGCTGCTTTTTATATGTTTGTATCCTTAACTTCCCTCACTAGATTTAGCAAACCGCATTATTGCGGATTAACATGCTCCTAATACTTTACATGTTGATACTTATATATTTCTTTTCACTATTAATTAATTTTAGTTTAGAGTATTTCGGTTCGTTTGGCGTAATTTGTTAATTGCATCCAATGCGACTAAACAAACAGGTTGTAAAATTGTTAAATTCTCTCTCACTTTTTCGCAAATAGCGAATTTTTCCTCTCCCTACATACACATGAACAGGGAAAAGAAGATTGTAAAGCAGAAGGACAGGAAATTAGTCGATATAAATTTATACGTGATGAATAGAGATAATGTAAAAAAAATGAAAGAAAGAGAAAGAGAGAAAGTGAGAGAGAAAATGAGAGAGAGAAAAGAAAAAAGAGAGTGAGAGATACAGTGAGTGGCAATCGTTTCATGAAAGAAATATCAAGTAAGTTAATTGATAGAAGAAGGAAAGGACTTGATACATTTGATTGGATGTTTGTGGATAGTTAACATTTGGCCACGAGTTCGCTTGAATATAGTTCTTGTAGAAATAATTGCAGTACTCCTAACAGCCGCACCTTCAAGTTCACAATAAGTGAATTGTCTTTCTTATTTGAGAACATTATTGATCATTTTAATTCCATTTTCGTGTGTCATTTTGGGAAAATGTACAAACCTAGTATTATGAAATAATTGTTTCCGATCATGAATAATTTGAAAATACCTAAAACTTTTATACATGTTAATTCCACGTTTCTCAGATAATTTACACTATTACGTCAAATTTATAAATTTGAAAAATTATGTTGAAAATTAAACTAAAATTAGAACTAGGCACGCATCGCAATGAATTATTTGCACACACACACTTAAGCATTGGATTGCGAAATAATTTTTATTTAACGGATCTTGAAGCTGCAATCAGCTTAATGACAATCTTAATGCAATCAGCTTAATTTGTACTGGTTTCGAGTGCTTACATTTTTTAACACTTTGATGTTTTTTTCATTCAGCCTTTTATCAATTTAATCATTTGATTCATTTTTTAATTTATTAATTTCAAGGGACTATAGGAATTTTTTTTAGAATTGTTTGAATGTGATTCAACGAAGTTAACCATTCGACAATGTTCTCAAATACGTTTAGTTGATAAAGTTAATGAAAATTGATAAGATTAAAAAATAAACTTACTGAATTTTTCAGAATTAAAAAATATTTGATAAGCAAATTTCAAGCTGTTGTTGAGAATATTAATGAAAGAATTTGTTGTTGTTGTTGGTGGTGGTTATTTTGAATTAAACGTAGATTTTTCAGTTTATACCGCAAATTTATTCTTCACATTATTTATTTTGATAAGCTTGTTTTAACATTAATATTTGTCGTTATGAAATAACTGTAATATAACAAGGAAGGCTTATTTTGCGGTAAGGTTTTATTTGCTTATGAAACATTCAATAATTTGCATTAATACCCAGATGTTTATATTTATATTCAACATTACTAAAACTGCATTAAAATAACATTTAACTATGTTAGCTCAAATGGTTGGAGTGCCGTTCTTTGTTCCAAATTGAGAGTTCAACATAACCTTATGCACTAAGAGCCTTGCTTCAAATGCAAGCTTTGTCAAACCGAAATGTTTCGTTGATTTTGAGAAATTTAAACAGAAGTGCATGCATAAATAAATAACGTTAATTGATAAAGTATGTCTATTACTCCGTTGTCCTTATTAACGATGTATCTTTTATTACTTGTTGAATATAGTTAGAAATAAAATTTAAAAAACTGACTGAATTGTTGTTTCATATTCAATCTTTATGAAAATTGAAATTATTTCCGCGAACATCAAGGAATCTCTTTATGAGCAGGATCGTATAGGCAAAGGGAAAGCTCATTCCTCCAATATAAAAAATCTTCCTATGTAAACACGTCAAAACGTCACAACTAAATCATATTTCATCAAGCAGACAGACAAACAAACTCGTCTGATTGAGTCGCCAGTGATTTTTAAATGAGAACATATTATTGAAACTTGTGTTTTAAATTAAAAAATGATTAAATTTCGCTAACGAGAACTGTTAATCGTCATTATTTCATATCTATATTATTATTGTTAATACTACTACCACCACCACTACTACTAATACTACTACTACTACTACTACTACTACTACTACAACTATTATTGTAAGTAAGAACAATAGCTGTGGTACTTAGTGATGAATGAAAAAAAATTTTTACATACACTCACGATTCATACGATCCCAGTGTAATCTAAAATGATAATTTGTTTTTTTATCAATCGTGAATCATATATTCTTTATAACGGCAGTCGCGTGCGCACCAAACTTAACACTCACACACACATACACACACACATACTTACATAAACTCTCTTACTCTCTCTCTCTCTCTCTCTCTCTCTCTCTCTCTTTCTCTCTCTCTCTCTCTCTCTTTCTCTCTCTCTCTCTCTCTTCCACAAATACGCCTGTGTGTGAAAAATCATAACAATATGAAAAGAACTTTTATAAAAGGTCGTAGAAGAAATAAAAACGTAGAATAAAATAAAATGACAATAAAAAAATCAATTATATTCTCAATGAATAGTTATTACTATTATATGAAATATGAATTGAAGACCGACTAAAATGATATTAAGATGATGACAAAAACTGTCTGCATCATTGTCATTTGGTGTGGTTTGTATAAATAGCGTGCAACTGTCTGCTGATATTTAACCAATTTTTTAATTTCTCTTGTTGCGTTCTTCGAACTTGCCGTGAAAGTTAAAGTTAGTTGGCTCTTGTGCGAAATTGATATTATTATTTAATTTTTATGTTGTGTTGTATATTAATTGAACTTCATTGTGTAATGAAACGATGTTTTTTGATTGAATTTTTTTTTAAATTGTATTTCTAACTTTCATTTTAGTCAGAAATAATTTGTTTAATGTTTATGAAATTGTAAACCAAAACAAAAATTCGAAACAGAAAAAAAACTCTATTGATGGCTTTAGAGGAAAATTTTAATAAAATATATAATCAAAAATCGTCAGAAAAGGAAAAAATGTCGAAAACACCACTCGTTTTCATTGTATCTTTACTGTTAGCATCTAGCATTCTGCCCGCTGTACCAGCAGTGGAGATCGAACACGAAAATGATTTCACCTACAACTATGATTCCTACAATTTGTCTCAGGCAACCCAAGATTTGAAACATCTCAATTCGAACGGTGATGGTGCCGAACCCAAAAACGCAAAAGATCAAAAATTTTTAAAGGAAATTTTTCAAAAAAATCGAGACATAGGAACAATTAATCTAAATGAAGAGGTAGGAGAGAGATTGATGTCTTCAGAACGTGGTATTCACGTTGATGACAACAAAATTATTAAAACCTATAAGAGATTGAAACGGCAATCAGAGTTTAGGTGGAATACTTTGGAAAAATTTTTACCCGAATACAAGTAATTATATTTGTAAAGAAAATATGATGTTATTTTTTTTAAATATTTTGAATTAATGTATTTTCATTTCAAACATTTTTTTGAGTATTCATTATGGAATCGAAAAATGTTACGGAAATAAATAAAAAATTTTGTATTAGCCCCATTGTTTATGGAGTGGTCTTGCATGATCAATCAATAAATGAAACTTGGTCATTTTTTCGGAGTTACAATCCAGAGATAGTGAGCCAATTACTTTATTGTATTTAATTTTTCATTATATAAATATATATAGAGAGAGAAAAATAAGAAAGAGAGGGAGGGAGAGGGTAAGCAAGAGAGAGAGATAGAGAGAGAGCGAGAGAAGAAGAGAGAGAAAGAGAGAGCGACAATTGATAATTTCATGTTTACATAGGTTTATTTATACATTAATTATTGTCAAATTTTTAAGAACCAAAACAAAACTTCAAAACAATTATTTTTGCGAAACTGTCACAGCATTACGAAAACAGGTATATGGTTTACATCGCTTCAAGATTTTCTTCATGTGCATTTGAAACTGGGATCTACTACATTTCCGACTCATCGCAACGTCAGAAAGTTATGATTGTGGTCGATGAAGAGGAAGAAAAATAGGTTAGTGCCGAAACAACGATCGATGAAGTTCAGCATATATTGTCTAAATGGAATAATCAAACTGAATGGAAAGCGGTTTTTCAGTCTATAGTGAGTTTAAAATTCGAAATAAAATAATTTTTGTATTTTTCTGTACCTAAAACTTTTAACCTTATTAACTAATTACTTAATTTGTTTATTTATTAGTTCAATTGAACAAATCAATACCTATAAATTGAATTTTATTTCAATGTTTTAAATATTTTTTTCTTCCATATTTAGCTTCCTGACAGCACTGTGTATGGCTGTGCCGTGCGACCAACATGCAGCAAACACCCCGATGAGAACAAGCATGCCTTCATTTGTGCGTTTACAGGACCGTAAGTATTTCTATTACTTAAATTCATTTCTTATATTTTAATCTAAATATTATTTTCTGTAAGTTTTACGTTTAAAATATTTGATATTTTTGAATGTTTAAAGTTCGATGATTATTAAATATTTTCACCAAATAACTTGAAAATGGAAATTCTACTACTACTACTACTATTACTGTTGCTGCCATTCATACTACTATTACTACTACAACTGCTACTTTTACCCTTGAATATTAGTATTTCATTACTAACAAAAATATATTAATAAAAACAATGAAACACATTTCAAAGCAGTCAGCTCTTGAAAATTCAGTCAATAATGAAATAATTTTTGATAAATAAAGTGTGTGTCTAAACTTTGATACACACATTTATTATCTAATTTACGTCACACTTCAATTCAGAAATGAATACTCTCTATCCAATCTTGATCGAACAAGACCTACTATCACTGAACCTACCAATGCAACTACTACTACCACTACCACCACCACTACTACCACTACTACTACTACTACAAGGGGTACATCCAAAACGATAGACTTTAGGTACATCAACGCAACAGGTAATTTAAATCTTTGAGTTCTATTCATGAAGCAGTATAGTTTTGCCATTGTAATGTAAATTTTTTATCACAGAGTCTTTGAATGAATTTTTTAACGAATATGGCAACAGAATAAAATTTTCATTCAATTTTATTAGCTTAATCACAATTTATGAATTTGATTTAGGAAAAGGATTCTCTCGTGAACAGACGAGTAAGGCCATACAAATTTTTAAGGAGGTGATTTAAACTTTGATTAAAACTTATTTATTAAAAAACTTATTTTTTAATTTTTTTATCAAACTTTGTCAATTATTATTAACTACTAATCCAAAGCTAAAATAAAGCATTTTTAGTAAAAAAATTGTAGCAAATATTCAGCATAATATTTTTCGTCTTAAATTTAAGTAAAAAGCTGACATAACGCTGTGTGTTTGTTATTATGTATGCGTCTATCCATATTGTGTGCAATAATTTTTCATCCATAACAATAAAAGGTGCTTCGTTTAAACTACTCGAATTTCGAGTGAGTTGACACGTTGGGTAGTTTCTCAGGCTTTTGGATGACGTGTAGTAATTTTGGAAACAGATATTCAAACGAGAAAGAAATAAAATCAGCTCGTGATCGTGGCTTCCATGTTTCAGGTACATAAAGCGTTCTTTTTTTTCTATAGAAAAAATTATTCTATTATAATTCTATGTTTGGATCACCTTAAAAATTTGTAATTATAAGAACTCATTGTTGCTGCTGTCGTGTTGATTCATTTTTTTAAATACTTCCGTGAAAAATTGAAATTATTATTTAAAAAAGGTTTCTACGGTAAAAAAAACCTTATACTGGAGAAACTGAAGGACCTTTGTTAGAAGGCATCCGAGAAATTGCCAAAGAGATTTTTGTAATTTGATTCTTTATTTTCAATTTTTTAAATGCAAATTTAAAAATCAGATAGGTGTGTGTCAGATTGTAATTGCCGCGAAAATTTTCATTGAAACAAACAAGTAGCCCACACTTAACTATGTGATGAAAAAAACATTCATGAACTAACAACTCATAAATGCCTGTTCAGAATGTTTTCTTCTAATTTTCTATTCTTATTTTTTCTATTCTTTAAATTTCTTCAATTTTTTTTTATTGGAGTAGGATATTATTCATGTGCTACTACTTTCACGTGGATCTTTTTAAAAAATTTAAAGCTAAAACAAGCACTTTCTCACGTGAAACAATCAATTGACTTTATCCAGTCTTTGATAGAGGTGTTCTTCAGAGTATTAGAGCCTGATCTCGGATGCAATTTTTTGTTAAAAGTTAAATTAAATTTACACATCAATATTTTTAAAAAATTCAAGATTATTTTTTTAAAAACAGAATACATCTAGGACTAGCTATTTAGGAAAAAAATGGGATGTGCTGTATATCCAAGCTGCCATGGTTTTGTCGGAGTCAACTGTTAAAACACTGTTTGATTGAATGATTGAATGATTGATTGATTGATTGATTGATTGATTGATTGATTGATTGATTGATTGGTTGGCTGGCTGGCTGGCTGATTGATTGAATGATTGATTGAATGATCGATTGATTGATTGATTGATTGATTGATTGATTGATTGATTGATTGATTGATTGATTGATTGTGGTAGTAGTAGTTGTTTTAGTAGCCTCAGCGCAAATTAGTAGTGTTTTAAATTACTACCAGTAGTTAATGATATTAATAAAAGTACATTTAATTACTGAAAACTTTGTAAAATGACTTCGTTAACTAGACACATCTGCTTATATTAAATTATTTGATATATTTAAGTTAATGTTGAAAAAGTGATTGAACAAATCATTGGTTCGTTTACTTGTGATTTAATGTAAATCAATTAAATTTTTTTATTTTATTATTCAATTCAATTTCGATGTTCGAATTTATGAATTAATAAGAATTTTATTATTTTGAAAAGTTTGATTTTGAAAATCATTAACAGTAAAAATAAAATTCTTCTTTACTGCGCTATGTTATATTATGGGGCTGAGTGATAATGAGACGTAATTAAGAATTAAAAACAAACTTACCTTGATTTTTCTCGTTTATTTCAACTTCAGTGTCAATCATTATAAACTTTCAATACATCAGCGTAATACAAAGACATTATATCGATATATTAATTATCAACTTTATTTTAAAGTGTAACCACTTTGCTGAAGTGCCTCCTTTTTCGAAAATCAAATTTTATGCAACAAATGAATGAAACATTTCCAGTAAACTTGAAGAAAAAATTGAAAAACTCAGCAACGAGTAACTGAAACTTAACTGAAAAACATACTTCAGTATCCAAATTAACAGTAACAACATCATTCAAAGTTTGGCAAGGGAACAAAAACACATTTTAAAAAATGTCCACCACTTATCAATTGAACATTTTCGCAAAAATCGATTTGGATTTTATTAATATTTTATATTAATAATGACTGGCCAACTGAGCAATAAAAAACAAAACATAAAAAAAGTAAATAATAAGCATGAATTTAAAATAACAGGGTAGTAGTATTAACAAGCACTAATTGCTGCAGCATTTTGATTATCATGTAAGTCAATTTCAACCAACAATATATTGTTAACTTTACTTTATAATATTAAATCATTAACTCGACTTATAATAAAAAAAATCATTAACTTAACAATCATTCATTGAACTAAAAATAAAAAAATGGAACAATTTATTTTAAAATCATTTCAATCATGACCATCTTTTGATTTTACATAGAAATAACATAACAATTTTTACAATTCAACACAATCGCCGTTAACAATTATAAATTACTAACTAATTAAGAAGAAAATTTAATTAAAAATTATAAACTCCAGATACAAAATACAGCATACTTTTAAAAGTATGCTGGTCCTTGCTTACGATTATAAGTACCCGAACGTTTTAAGGATGGAAACATTGCACATGCATACATACATTAAACAAACACATAAAATAAGCTCTGCATTTTTTAGAGCTTTGTAATTTTAAATTTCTACAAAAATCATTGTTTAAAATTTGTGGCAAATAGACAGGAATAACATTTGGACGTAGACAAACATAGACAAACAATACAAACGAACAGAATTATAGAAATATATCTAAAATAAAAAATAACACTTGACTGTTTATACACAGCTCATGCAAAGGCATCTACTACTTAATATGTTAACATGGAAGGCTTTCTAAAAGAATTCAATTCTCATTATAATCTAGCAACATCATTTTTCTTCATAAAAATTTTACTCTAATTGCTAATAATGAATAGGACTGCATGTTAATCAGCATTGTAACATTCATTATAAAAATGATACAATCATTGTTATTAACACCATCATCATCGTCGTCATCATATCATCATCAGATCTTCATCTTCTTCATCGTCGTCATCAGCCTTCATTCCTCTGCGATGAATTAAATGAATCAGTGATTGGCGAATCGTCCTGTTTGGTCAGTTGCTGGTTCCACATGTTCGTGTACACGCCATCTTCAATCTCCAGCAGTTCCTCGTGTCTTTGTGGAAAAAATATATATGGCCAATTTTGTATAAATTAAGTTTTTTAAATTAACTTTTTTAATTAACTTTTAACTCTAATTCTCAATAGTAAACCTTAACAAAGACACGATCTTTACATTAAAAATACATGACACACTAATTGTAGAATGCCTCTATGCATTCAAATCAAGTAACTGAGCAACCGGATGGTAGCATAGCTATCGAAGCAATATACGTATATACGACGATCACGTACATGAGTCACTCTTTAGCAGCTGACATAATCCATCTATTCATTAATTTTAAAATCCATCAAACTAATGACACTAAACCAATCAATCATTCAACCAAACGACCAGCCAATTAATCAATCAACCAATCAGTTAATTAGTAATTCAATCTTCCACTCAACCGCAAACCAAACGAACCTGCCACTCTCAACTATGCACCCGTCCTTGAGAACAATAATCTTGTCGGCGTGTATGATGGTTGAGAGTCTATGGGCGACAATGATCGTCGTCCTGTTTTCGCAAACTTTCGCAAGTGACGACTGGATCTGCCGCTCTGTCTTCGTGTCCAGGGCTGAAGTGGCCTGGAGAGGTGCAGAATGAAATTTCAGATGGATGAATTAATGGATGTACGTACATACAGGCATGCCAAGTAGAGGTGGGTAACAGAAATGAACGGATGGCCAGTATTTGCTATCTATATGATTAGTTTTACCCACATATAAATGACAGTTGTAGAACCAGCACAATCAACCAGTTTGAACGATTTATATCAACTAATCGCTCATTAAAAGACCATAAAATACACCAACAAACCAGCCAATGAACTAACAAGCCAGCCAATCAACCAACCAATCAGCCAATCAAACCTCATCCAGTAGCACAAAGGCAGGAGCCTTAAGAACAGTTCTGGCAATGGCAACCCTCTGCTTCTCACCACCGCTCAACTTCAGACCACGCTCGCCCACCATTGTTTTGTAACCTGCCAATTTTAATTGATCCAAAACAATCAATCAATCAATTAATCTTCGTTTTGCGTCCAGAGACTCGGTTTACCGAGGTAGGACGTTGAATTGATCCACAACAGGCAGCGTTATAAGTCACCTCAACGAAATAATCACCATCATACTCTTAATCATAATCATCATCATCGTAATCATGTTAACTAACCGTCGCTGTAACCGTCATCATCGTCATCGTCGCCATCATAAGGATGATGATGATCATCATCATCGTATTCATCTCCATCACAATCATAATCGCTACCGCCTACATCATTATCATCATCATCATGGTCTCGATCATCATTATCATCATTATAATCATCATCATCATCGTCTAACCTTCAGGAAAGGTCATGATCCTGTCATGTATCTCGGCGACCCTAGCAGCGTCCTCGACCTCTCCAGACGTGGCGCCAACCCTACCGTACCTTATGTTGTACCTGGATAATAATTATAATAATTACATATAATTATTGTTGAAAAAATTATTATAGTTATATAGCTAAAACAGCATAATAGATAGATAAATATGCACAAATCAACCCATCCAACACACGGTATGTGATAGATTAGGACTGCTTTCGAACTCGAAAACTGCAACACGAGAGCCAGGCACCATTAGACCATCGCGCCGCCCATTATTATCATTATTAATGTTACCGTTGGAATTAAACATGATTAATTATATTAAAACTAATTTACTATAAGGATTACTGGAGCTACTACTACTAACTCGATATCATTGTTGAAGAGGACGGTATCTTGGGGCACGACACCGATAAGACTCCTTAGTGAACGCTGTTGGACCTAAAACATTATCATAATTATCGTCACATACACACACACTCAAACACGCACATATACCAATATATAATTACACAATCTCCTCATAACATAGGTATATCACATCATCGTGTATCACCATATCACCATACACACATATATATATATATATACATATCTATATGTATCTATATCTCTATATCCATACCTTAGATATATCCTGGCCATCAATCGTAATAGATCCAGATTGGATATCATAGAATCTGAAAATGAGTCTTATGATGGTGCTTTTACCGGCACCCGATGGTCCAACCAAGGCAACCGTTTTGCCCGGCGGTACCACAAAAGAGATGTTTGTTAGGATCTGGTGGCTGTTTATGAATTTGTGTGTGCATGTGTGTGCATGTGTGCGTGTGCGTGCGTGTGCGTGCGATAGTGGAGTTGTGTTAGAGTGCGTTCTGATGCATATCTTTTAACTGTTCAAACAAAAAGTAATAAGCTTGTTAAGAAAAGTAGCCGATTAAATGGCAGAACCAACGCCGCCACGACTTTTACAAAAGATGAAAAAAGTTTTTTTCCAACTAGGTCTAAATTTCTTTAAGAATAAGGCTATAAAAATGCTAGCGCTTGTAAACAGTTTAGGTAAAAATGCTAGACATATTGGTACAAAATGAAGATAATGGATGCGATAAGTATGACATAATGATGATAATAACAACGATGATGACAGACAGACAGACAGACAAACAGACAGACAGACACCACTCAACTAACTCAGGACGATAATGGAATGAAACGTTTCTGAATTCAACTTCACCCCTCGTTACAATAAGTTCATTGGCTTCTGGTGCATCTTTTATCTGCAGATGCGTGTGTGCGTGTTTGAGTGTGTATGTGTGCGTGTGTGTGTGTGTGCGGTGTGTGTGTAAATCTAATTGATAATACAACTCAAAACAATGCATCTTAAAATATAAACACTGTTTTTATGATGATAATGATGATGACGACGATGATGATGACAACCTCTTGCTTTTCCTTAAGCAGATCAAACATATTCTCCATGTCAATGAAAGCCTGCTGAATCATTCTGCATCGTGATATAGAGATGAGTAAACACATCGTATTATATCAGACATATCGACATCTTATCATTATACTAAAAATTCATCATCCTGATATTGCCATATTTCATCACACTATAAATTTAAGCCATCATAATTCGACCTTTCTCATCTTAACAATCATATCACCTCCAAACAACTCAAAATGAAGAAACCCAACCAACCTATAATAAGTACCAAACCAGTTGAGGGGAGTGTAGAGCTGCAGCATGTAAGTACCGAAAAGTACGTAATCCCCAACGGTCAGCCCTTTGGTACCGTCGACAACGTACCAGGCGCAGAGAAGCGAACCAGCCAGTAGACCGAGCGTGATGATGAAGTTCTGCATGCAGTTCAACAGATTCAACGATGACATGCTAATCCACTCTGCCTTCTGAGACATTGCATCAAAAAGAGAAGTTTGAGAGAAATTATTTTAAAAATTAATCCTCATCGCCATGCCATCGTCATCGTCGTCGTTATCATCCTTAATACAGCAGTCGTCATCGTCATAATCACAATCATCATCTTCGTCGTCGTCATCATCATCATCGTGAACTTTGACCTGGAATGAGAGTATGGCATCTCTGTATCTTTCAATCTCAAATGCCTCGGCACCATAATATTTCACCTGATGATAAATTAATTAAAAAATAAAATGATTAATTCGGAAAAATTTAATTAGATAATCACATGGTTTAGCATCAAATTAACTATTTCATAATCTTCAAAAAGAGAAATATATATATATACCTGAATTGGATTAATGTATGAAAAAAATGGCATTGTCGATTAAATTTGTTGACAAATCAAGCCATAGAGGGAAGAGTAAGAAAATTAACTTATAAAACTGGTGACAAAAAAACTACTTGACAAATTTTTTTTAATTTATTTTTATTCACAACCAAAAAAATACAATGTCGCTATTGTTTCAAAACCGTTTCAAAGTTGAGGAGGGAATCGACAGCCTTGGCGTTCATCTCGTTATCCAACCTATTCATGTCTCTCTTGAATTTCGTTCTCCACTCAGTCAGGATTATTGTTGATACTGTGATGTGTGTGCGTGTGAGAGTTTGTGTGCGTGTGTATGTGTGTGTGTACGTGTGTGTGAGTGTGGACATGAGTGAATACGCACGTGTGTGTGTAGTTTAGAACATGTTGGAAAGCATAGTTTTTTAAACGAATAAAACTAAACGACGGGAATTGAATAAATTGAAAAAAACATGGCATTTAAAATAACAGAAACAACAACAACAACGACGACAACAACAACAACAACAACAACAAAAGCAACAATAACAACGGGTAAAAAAAAAACAAAACGAACTAACTCAAATAGACCAGCATGGTGATGAATATGATGAATGCAAACCAGGTGTTGAATGCTGTGAGGAAGAAGATAATGGCGATGAATATATCGGCTATGGTCGGAAAGATGTTGAAAATGATGTAACTGCATGGAGGGAGGAAGGAATTATGAATGTGATTAGTCTATAATTAATCGTATGTATTAAATGAGAATAATTACCACATAAAAAGCATCGGTATCAACAGCGTCAATTAATAACAATCAATCGTCGATTCTTTGAAAGAACGTTATGCGGAACAAAAAAAAACACCAAATAAAAAATTATTTTTACAACAATTATTTTTAACCCCAAAAACCACCCTGAGCAAGCCAACCGCCCTACTTGAGTAGACTATTGATACTATTGGTGCCCCTGTCCATGATTCTCAATACCTCCCCTGTCTTCCTCGTCAGGTGCCATCTCAGTGACAGACTGCAACGTGGTTGGGATAGAATTTTTTTTTAATTCTCCAAACAAATATTTAATAATATAATAATATTATTATTGCTACATCACACTTAATTGCTTCCATCACCTTCATTATCATCTTCATCGTCGTCACATCATCATCTTCACCACTATCAACATATTATCTTCAATACTACATCATCATCTTCATCATCATCTTCATCCCATCATTCTGCCCACTCACGAATGCAAATGACTGAACAGTCTGACTTCAACGGCCCTGGTGGTGTACTGTTGCACCCACGTCCACAGAAAGGACCTGATGCCATTCAGCAGGCCCATGGAACCTGGTCATGATGATGGTGGTGATGGAGGTTGAGAAGGATGAGATGATGATGATGACAGATGATGAGGATGATGATGATGACAGGAAGGGCGATGATGATGACAGATGAAGATGGCGATGATGATGATGACAGGAAAGGCGATGATGATGACAGATGATGGTACATAACATATGATGACGATAATGAGAGCAGCTTGATTGTTGTTATACAAGAAAACTATGTCAGCTTTGAAATAGAACATTGAAATAGGTGGCGAAAGCATTCAGCTAAACCGCTGAAGAAGAATGAATGATATGAACAACACATTTGACAAAAGCCAGTGCACAAGTAGATATAAAAACATTCAACAGTTCATACAAACTTGTGTGCGTGTGCGCGTGCGTGTGTATGTGTACACACACATGTACACTGAAACAACGTATATTTACATACACACAACTGCACAGAATATGAATATGCACGAGATTTTTATATTGAATAAATACACATTTTTGTATGACAACGCTCATTACACATGGGTGAGTACTTTAGTTTGAAAAACTCATCATACTTATTTATCATTATATTTGTAAAAGTTAATGTACAAGGCATCAAAAACAGTCAAATGCAGAGAGAAAAACCTCCTTGCAAGAACCAGAGGAAGACATAGGTGAGTATGTAATCCCACCTGAACTGCAGTTCAGACAAGGTGTAGGCTCTTGTGCTTCCATCTCCTGTCTTGGACTCTTCAGTCTGATTCGTAATTGTCAGACTGTCGACTGCAATCAAATAAGAACTAATATGATTGATCATAGTTTTTAATTTTTCACTCCACAAAACTATCAAAAAGATAATTTTAGTGAAAAACTATTCCACAAAATTTAAACAGCATAAACAGATCTGAAAGTACAATTATGAACTTATAATAAAATTATGTAAATATTAAAAGTGGACACCACAATAATGTCAATCAATCCATAAACTCCGCCCAGACCAAACGCAAACTTACTAATCAATTTGTAATAAATTGGCGTGAAGAGATTAACAACCCTGCCAGCAATCAGTAGCAGAAAACATACAAAGACACAAAACTGCAGTGGTAGGCTTCCTCTTGGCCACATGAATGGCCACAAAAGAATCATCTGTAAGGGTTAATGGGTAAAATTCATTTATGAACTTTGAACTTAGGAGTTTTATTAATTCATATAAGATATCAATTTAAGGAGAATATTTTAATACCTTATGTAACATTTATTAGATCATGTTTATGGAATAGTAGTGTGTAAAAATACGTATCCCAACTGATGGGTTAACGCCATTTAAAAAGACAACTAAATAATTTTTTAAAAAGCAGCGAATCAAAAGAAATAATTATAAAAAAAAACAAATAAAATTAGCTAAATAAATTTTCTGTTATTAAATAAATATAATAAAGACAAAAAAAGAAAAGTAAATATTTAGGAAAATTGAAAATCCCAATCCCAAAACCTTCTTCTTAAAACCCATCCATGTTGATCGCTGCCTGTCCCTGCCTTGAAACGCCCCATTCACGTTCTGTATGCCACGCTCTATACTAATTAGAGGCTATTGTTAAAAAAGATTGTAAAGATGATGAATTGTAAAGATGATGAATTGTAAGGATGATGAATTGTAAGGACGATGAATTGTAGAGATGATGAATTGTACACCACACCACACCACAACTACCCCAACCACAAATCGACACACAACAGCCGCTAACATCATCCCCATCATAGCCAGGCAGTGGCTGGTAACCAGCTGGTCTGTTCGCCATGGTTCCAGGCGCACACAGAGTCAGGATGAAATAGAAGGACGTGAAGAAGTACCTGGCGCAGAAGAGGCCTAACTCTATGTTGTTTGACCGACTGTGTAGTACAATTAGCCACAGGTCATTATTGAGTTAAGAGATGACGATAACGCAACAAAAAATGGTTAGCCATCATCGTTAACGATAATTATAAATCCATATATTATTCAATAAAGCATTAATTAAAATGACAGATGATTAAATTAATGAGTTTATACTGAATCTATTGTAGTTAGTCGTACTACAATATCGTACATGCAATGTTTTAAAAACATCAAAGTCATTATTTAATTAAACGTATTTAATTATAACAACTGCAGCAAAAGCATGTAGTGCCCACTAATGAGAATCATTAATTCCACAAAAAGTTTTTATCAAAATAGAAATTTATTTTTTATAAATAAAATCACAAATAATTATCATTTTTTTCAAGATTTTGTTCTAGCTACAATCAGACATTTTTTTTATCACTTATCTCACAATTTTTTCAATAAAACGAAATGAACTTGCTATCAACATCTAGTAATTCTCACGTTGAATATGACTGTTAATAGCTTTGCTATTCATATAAATTTAGGGAAATGATCATTGTTGATCTGACGTGTGACAACCAAATTTCAGAATATTAATAAAAAAGACGTTCATTTTTACAGAATTTAGCTTTCAATTTGACAATCTCAAAATGCGAAAGTCCAAAAATTATAAATTCATTTGACGCACATATGATCAACTTTGTACATTTAATGACGCAAAAATAAACTTGAAAAAAATGAAAAAAGTTATTAAACAGCATGCACAAATAAACATGAATGAATAACTCCCACCTACATTATCAAAAAGAAAAGTCTACAGATACACACACCACACACACACACACACACACATATATACACACACCACACAAACACACTTACACACAAAAACACACACACATACAAAAACACACACACATACACACTCATAGAGTGCATACAAAGTAGAAACTTGTATGCAGTGCAAGACAAATCTCTTTTCTATCACAGACATGAGAATCAAGTTGATAAAAATAAATGTCTAAAGGTATGTCACGTGTGCAGCTTTTTTCAACTATGAGCTTAATCAGTGAGCAAAAAATAATTAATAAACCAACATAATTTATATTTTTAAAATTACAATAATCGTCATATTATAATTTTATTAACCATTATCTCAATAACCATTAACCATTATCTCAATAAAAATAAAACACATTTTACTAATATAATCACAACTTATACTAATACTAAGTTGACAGAAAAAGTTGGATGGTAATTTGTGTGGTGTAGTATCAAGAAAGATGACATAAAACATGATCACGAAATGCTATGAAAAGTAACATTGTAAAATTCTCATTTCTGGAAAAGCTATAAACTGTTTTGAATGTTAGCAATACATCATCATTTAACTTTATATTCAAACAAACAAATGCTATTACCAATTTATGCTATGATTATGTATGAAATATTTACTTTTTAAATTTATATAAATATGATTCATTGAATTGTGTGAACAGAATAAGGCAGTAAAAAATCAAAATTTAAAAAAAAATTAAAGAAACCAGCCCATCTGAAAATCATATAACATAAATGATAATATGAGATAACACACAGTTGAGATGTAGTAAAATAGATGTAGAAACAACAGCAAAAACCAACATAACAAACAAGAAACACCAAAATGCCCCAAACTACCTTCTCTCTTCGAACCACCACAATGGACTGAAATAAGACAAAAAGGTCAGATTCTCGATGACGAATGCCAAGGTCACAAAGACTAGTACGACCAAACCATGCCCTCTGGTTGGTATAGATGGCAGAGTCCATCTACACTCGACATATGTTACGATGACAATCACCAGCCATGATACAATGAGAAAGACATTGCACATAATCTGGTACCTGTGAAATTAAAATTAATGTTTAAATTTCAAACAATCTTAGGTGATTACTATGATAAAATCTAATTTAATATTTTAGAATTAGATGAGAATGCATTAAAATAAAGGTTAGTTAAACCATAACTAATAAATTACCAACCCATAAGCCACTCCTTTATTGATGACGACAACCTCAATAATAACTCTAGCAAGAGCTTCAATAGACAAGAATATTGGCAGAGTCAGTTGAATAGTGAACCAAGGAGAATAAGATATCTGATAGCTTTCTAGTCTTATTGCATATTTGCGATAGAAAAACAGTTGACTGAGGCCAAATATTAGACTGATGGCTAGTAGTAAAGAAGGAAATAATGTGTAGAAGAAACATGGAGAGAATCCTTTGTTGAACCAAACTGATGTAAGGTTGCTAGTAGGGTCACAAAAACTTATCAGCTTCATTATCAATTAGTATCTCTATTTTGTTGGAAAATTAATACTTAATTGGAAAATTTATATAAATAAATAATATGTTATATATTATAATACATAACTAAAAGTTAATTAAATTATTATAATAATTTACCCCTTTTATTACTTGTCTTAAATTAAAATTAAATTAATACTTGTCTTTAAATTGAGTAATATAATAAAATAGTAATTTAATAATTATATAAGTTACAATTAGCAAATCAAATATCATTTGTTGACAAATATTGAAATATAATATATATTTTAATTTTTAAATATTTAATAATTATTATTATAATTATATAATATAATATAATATTATAATATAATATTAATAATGATATCAAAACATTAATTATTATTAAAGTAACCAAAAAAAAGTAATTAGTAATCCCTTTCTGTACTCCAGTTACTTCGTCACCAATTAAATTTATATATATCTTTTAATAAATTAATTAATTTAAATTACAAAAAGGACCGCTTCTATGTCTTCTCAACAAAGCAACTCTTTATCAGTAGAGATCTTTAAATTAATTTTAAAAATGAAAAAGACAACAAAACAAAGGTCAATGAAAAATTTTTTTTTATAACAAACTATTGAATATAGAGATAGATATATATGTAGGATAAAACGTGTAATTTTATATCAAATACATCCTTCATTTATAATAATTCTGCCAATTGATAATAATCGCCAGGCATATATAATCTATATATATGTCGGCAGGTAACTACCAATTATATAAGAAATAGGAACATAAATTTTTTATGTTTCCTCTTTAACAAGGATGACATCACTATCAAATGACTTTTTCATAATTGCATTAGGGAACAAATATCGCTTTCACATAATCACACTACCGTGACAGAGCAAAAATTGAATTTAGAATTCATAAACTGACTGAAGTTTCTAGAAAACTAAATTATACGCACCTATTTGACGCTTTGTCAATTCTTAACAAAAATTTGATGCATCTTTCAGTTTTAATAAACTTGTCATCTCAGACAAGTTTCACCATTCTACAGAAAGGTCATGTCACACAAAAAGGCATCGGAATAAGATTTATATATATATATATATATTATATATATTTATAAATATATATATATATATATATATATATAGAATACATAAGGAAAAACTTCAAAACTGAATGGCTTTAAACTTGTATTTATGAAAATATAACACAAACGAAAAATCAATATGTTTTTCAATTAAATCCAAATTCATGTATAACAATATACATAATAAACTATAAAAATTATTTTTCTTCATCTTTCTTTTTGAAATTCTTCTGGAGAGCTTCTGCAAATGCACAGATATCTGCAAGCATGAAATAGGTGACACATTGTAATGTAGATAAAAGGATTCAATAAATTAAAATCAGATTTTAACAACTCATCCATAATGATAGAACATCAAAAGTTACTATAAGTTACTATCAATAGAACAATGACACCCAAAGTTGCAGAGTTGGACATTTTTCAAAAATAAAATTTGAAGGAAGTAAATGAAGGAAGTAATAATGAAAGAAATAATGAATTAGCATGTTAGTGACCACTACCTCCTTTTTCAGCTGCAGCAACCGCATCCTCTCCCAGATTGAACTGTGCAATGAGTGGACCAAGCTGACCAGTCAGTAAAGCGCCACAAAAGCTTCTCAAAGTCTGCATTTAAACAAAAACAAATTTATGAAACATTCATTAAAATAAAATAAATAAGAATCTACTCAAATTGAATTTTTCATCCAAATTTGAAATCAACAAACACACAAAAACAAATTAAATGAAGATTTTAAGTTGAAAACACTGAACAAAAAAAATATAACAATATGTTTAATGAAATATAATAAAATATGTAAATTGGAATAAAAAAAATATATATATACAAAACTGAATAAAATATGTTAACTGGACTGAAAAGCTTTTAATAAATCGTAAAATCAAATAAATAATGAGAAAAACTTGTTGAAATTGTGGAGAGTGAACAGTGTCCTTGAGTTCCTCAACAGTTTTTGGAATAACTTCACCATCAGGTAGAAATGGGACAAGACGTTCCTGAATCTTTGGATCAGCCAGGAGAGGTAGCAGAACATCAGGAGATATGGATTTCAATACATCAACTAAATGCGAGCAAACAACATAATGAATAACAACATAACCATTACAATGTTGCTAATATACCAAGAATAAATTAACTATATACCATCTTGTATTCCATGAGCTGGCTGTGCAGAAGTACCTGGGAGGAAATCATTAAATGTTGCTTATGTAAGGAAAAACAATTTTGAAATAAATTCATCAGAGAAAGAAAGATTACAAAAAAAGCACAGCATAACACATACTTCCCATGGATGTTAGGATATTTTGTAAATCACTGAGCAGAATGGCAGGGGTAGGAGGCTTTGAAGCAGCATTGCTTACCGTGGGAGCTGCCGAACTTATAGTGGTGGCTGGTGTACTGCTAGCAACTGTTGTGGTTGCTGCAGCTGAGGTGTTTACAGATGAAGGTATCGTTCTCTCCACAGCGGTTGCTGATGTCAATCGAGAGGATCTATTGGAAACACATTAATATTAATTTTTGAAACTTAATACATTGTATAAAAGAAATTATTTGTTTTAAATCTGACTAATCACATGCTTAAAGGCCAAAAAAAAACAAAAAACTTAAGTTTACAAAACAAAAACTAACGGAGTAGAATCAGAAGACATGGAAGAACTGGATCGACTTCCCAACAATGAAGACATGTTACCCATTCCTGTTATGAGCCGAAGCATCTGTTGGGGGTCCATGCTACCTAGCAAGTTGTGAATGTCTGTACTGTCACCTGCTCAGTCAAGTCAACGTATATTACTTAGTTGCTTATTGCAATATTTTTCAATTTTTAATTTCAAAAAAAAAATATCAAACAAAATCATAATTCATGAAACTAACGAAAAAAATTAAAGTAACAAAAAATTTCCTACTAAGTCCAGCAGCTAATTCAGCAGGCAGAAGACTGCTTGCTGCACTTCGACTGGATGATGGAGTGGGTGGATTGTTGAGATGTTCATTCAACTTCGACCATAACTCTGCATCTTTATCAGCTTTTGGCTCCTAATATTTTTTTATTAATATCTTTTGAAAATTTAAACTTCAATTTGCAGATTTATAACTGAAAATGAAATGACTAAAAACAGAATATAAGATTTATAAAACAGATTACAATAAGATAACCTGCATCCAATAAAACATCTTTTTATTATTCGACTTCAGCTTCAACAAATATACTCGACCAGTTGTACATTGAGGCACATGTTTATATTCAATGTCATCAGGAAAGATTATCAAGTCCTGTTTTTTTGTGTGTGCATTGATGTTATTTTTAACACTTTTTAAGTTACTTAATTTTTTACTTTAGAATATTGAACAAATCTAATCATTAAAAGTAAATTGATTTAAAATTTCAAAGGATGGCATTTGATATTAAATTTTTATAAGTTTAGAGTTTATATTTTATTTCATAAAAAAATTAACTTGAAAAAGTTATTTTTGTAACTTACTTTTAAAAATTAAAGTTGAATTTATTTAATTATTTATTTATTAGATTAACAAATTAATTAATTATTAGCTAAAAAGCTTAAACTGTTAAACAAGTTAAACTGTTCATTAAAGTAAAATAAATTGAATATTTAAAACAATCCACAGACATCCTCAACAGTGCCCTTAGAACGGTCCTTCCAACACAAATGCATCAGCTGGTCATCAGACTGGTAAATGTACAGAAGACCCTTCCTTTTGTCTGGATGAACCATTTTTCCTTTAATTATCGACTTGCCGGCTTTAAACTCCACCAAATTTTTGCTTTGGTTGCTTCGCGCTAGGTTACCAAACAGAGCTCCACCACTAGCCATTTTAATTTTTAACAGACGGTAAATAAAATCAGTTCTATGGATAAAACAAAATATATACAAAATATAACAATAAGTGTCGATTCGAAAGTTTATTTTGCAAGTCAGAAAAGATGGCGGCGTTTACCAAAACTCCTGAAACTGTAACGACTAATTTGACATGATCGAAAATTGAAACATACTCAATAGGTTTGAGTTAATTGATCAAATCATAATGTAGAAGAAACTTATAAATGGTTCTTTACAAAATATCAGCCTAGTCATTAAAGAGTTGTTTAATAAATCAGTGAAAAGTCGATTATATATGATGGACAGCTAGAAAATCAATCAATTAACCAGCTATTCACATTGAGACATTTAATTTACTGGACCATCGTCAATGAGTTTAGCGGTTTAACCTTTGCTCTTTATTATATATTTATAACCTTCACTTGAAATGTATAGGCGTGTTGAATATAAAAGAAAACAACATCACCAGGTCAAATTTTGTCTAACTTAATTTTTGTGTATGCTATTAAACCAGCTCTCGATCGCTTCAATCTAATCAAATCAATCATAAGCGGTAGAGGTAGTGGTAGCAGCTGTAGCAGCTGCAGCAGCAGTAACAGCAGCAGTAGTGATATTAACAGTAGTAGTAGTGGTTGTAGTATTTTCTTGTATTGCAGTTGCTAAAACATAAAGTGTATGTCGGCCGGTTGGTTAGTTGGCATGACAACGTGTATACAATGTACACGTTTTGTGAGAAGGGATTGTTTTGCACTTGTACGTTGACCGGCTGGTTGTTTGGCATGTCCAACTTGTACATAGGCACGTTTTGTGAAAAGGGATTGTCTTATTTTTTTTTACTTGCTCAGGAGTTAGAAATATGTTAAGCGGTTAAGCTATTCAAATTTTAAGTTCATAACACCACAAACGAGCCACAGAAAGTTAGCTGGCTGGAAGAAGTTGAAATTTGAAACAATCTGCTTTATTTTAGAATTAGATAAAAATCGTAAACAAATCTGCGTTTATTTTATTTTAAAGAATGAAGATGAATAACAAAAAAAGGTATAACTTCGCTGTTTTGTTTCGATAACAATTAAATTAATTGAATTAATTAAAAGAATATCGCTTTCTAGTTTTTCCTGGCTCTTCAGTTCATTTAGTCTCTGGTGTAGCTTTTGACATGTCAGTGATGCGTCTCAGAAAGTAGTCAACTGCAGAAAACATTTCTAAGGTAGAGTTGTTTTTTATGTTCGCCCACTCATTTATCAATACACATACATACATCCACATACATATACCATACACACAAACACAACTTTACACAAAAACAAACACAACATTACACAATCAAAAACATTACACACAATCAAACACAACATTACACACAAACACAACATTATACACAATCAAACACAACATTACAGACACAAACAAACACAACATAACACACAAACAAACACAAAATAACACACAATCAAACACAACATTGCACACAAACACAACATTACAACACAATCAAACCCAATATTACACACAATCAAACACACAGCAAACATTACATACACACACGCATGCATAACATTCATTTGTTCGGTGTTATTTCATGTTTGTTTTCTACTTTCTTCTACTTTTCTTCTCTACTGGACTGACGCCAAGAGTAAGTTGAGTTTAATTGAAAGTAGGTAAGTTAGGACCTAAGATGAGTTAATTAATCATAAGTAGGTGAGATTTGAGTTGAGCTAAATATTATAGGTAAGCTAGGGCTTGAGCGTTAATTTATGGTAGGTAGGTGACTTCCATTCTTGCTACTTCTCATTTATTGATTGTTATGTGTTAGTTTTTGTTTCACATCATCATCACACACTAACAAAACAATCAAACACAACATAACACACAATCAAACCAAACATTACACAATCAAACACAACATTACATACAAACACAACAATACAACACAATCAAACACAACATTACAACACAATCAAACACAATATTACAACACAATCAAACACAACACAATCAAACACATCATTACAACACAATCAAACACAACATTACAAACAATCAAACACAACATTACAACACAATCAAACACAACATTACATGCAATTATTTAATCCTTCATTTTCATCATACATTTTAATGTTAATAACACTTTAAAAATTATTTTTCTTCAAAACCCTTCTATGTTTCCTGCTCTATCGGATCTGTGAGAGATGAGGCTGTTGCAAGAGTCAGACCAGATAGTGAACACAACAACACAACTAAGCCTCTGCCTTTCGGAAGATGGTGGTGCCGCACGAGTCAGTCAGTGAGGACTGCAGAATGTTAGAATTGTTAATTTTTCTTTTCATTTTCAATATTAAATCCAGAAATTATTTTTTTTTGTTATATTAAATCCAAAAATTATTATTTTTATCGTTTAAGATGGTAAATTCAGAAATTATTTTTCTAGCAGCTCTAATGGTCTCATAGTCTCAAACATTGGAATTGTTAGATTTTTTTTTCCTTTGCGATATTAATTCCAAAAATTATTATTTTATTTGCGCTATTAAAGTAAAAATTATTTTTACAGCAGGTTAAACATTCAGAATGGGAGCAAATCATGATGAAAATCTTCCACAGTAATAGCTTCAGATTGTGGTCGGTGCATCACTCAGAGGGTGGCTGGTGGGATGGAGATTGCATGGCAGTGGGAAAGATTCTGAAGTTTAGTTCACCCACTCATGCATACACATATCGTTATAGAGAGTTGCGCGGTTATATAGAGTTATATAGAGCTGCACGGTTATATAAAGTTACGCGGTTATATAGAGTTAAATAAAGTTGCGCGGTTTTATAGAGTTATATAGAGCTGTGCGGTTATATAGAGTTACGCGGTTATATAGAGTTAAATAAAATTGCGCGGTTATATAGTGTTATATAGAGTTGCGCGGTTATATAGAGTTGCGCGGTTATATAGAGTTGCGCGGTTATATAGTGCTATATAGAGTTTCGCGGTTATATAGTTTTATACAGAGTTGAGCGGTTATATAGAGTTATGCGGTTATATAGAGTTATATAGAGTTGCGTGGTTATATAGAGTTACGCGGTTATATAGAGTTTTATAGAGTTGCGCGGTTATATAGAGTTGCGCCGTTATATAGAGTTGCGCGGTTATATAGAGTTGCGCGGTTCTATAGAGTTGCGCGGTTATATAGAGTTATATAGAGTTGCTCGGTTATATAGAGTTGCGCGGTTATATAGAGTTGCGCGGTTATATAGTGTTATATAGAGTTGCGCGGTTATATAGACTTGCATTGTATCTAAATATAATGCTGACTCTTTGTATATTTTGTTTGTGTAAACTGAATGTTGGTTGGTTGGAAATGAATCAGATGTCAATTTTTTATTAATTGAATTTTGATTATATATAGTTTTTATTTATTCATTCATTTAATCACTCATTCAATCATTCATTCATTAATTTTTCATTCATTCATTCAATTTTTCATTCATTCATTCATTCAATCATTCATTCAGGGTGGCATACGAAAAGCTTGTAGAGCTGTTGATTATGGGAGTTCAAAAATGGCCGTGATGTAAACATTAAAACGTTTACACTCGCGCTATAGTTGTTCTTCCAGTGGCAACGAACGCAAGCCTGGCCGAGATGTGCAGCAGTGCCTCCGGCGTCGGCTTTGCTAGAGGTGTTGAGGGGTTATACACGAACGCTACTGATACGTCAAACGAAGCAGCGGTGGGCAGGACGAACTCGCCGCTGACTGTGGCTGGCATGTCCCTTTATTTTTTTCTTCTTTTTCTTCTTCTTTTTTTTCTTTTTTTCTTCTTTTTCTTCTTTTCCTTTTTTTTAATTATTATTATTATTTCTCTTTCTTATTATTTTGATGATGATGATGATAATTTATCGGAGTCATATTTTGTTTCTTATTCTTTTTCTTATTATTATTCTGATGATGATGATAATGAATCAAAATCCTATTCATTTTTTTTCTTTCTTCTTCTTTTTCTTCTTCTCCTTCTTCTTTTCTTTTTCTTCTTCTGATAATGATGAAAGTGGTTAGCAATGCTCTCTAAAATTGCTATGAAAACCAGAAACTGAGTCAGCTTTAGTTTATTTTACTTTGTTTCTAATGTGACAAACGCATTGCTGATGGTTGCATACCTGCCTAAAAAACGCGCTTTTTTCGGCGCTTCTTAACACACAATGTTGGGTCTTATACATGAACGAATGTGCAGGCTTGCAGCACATTTTGGGTGCAGCTCAGATGGGGGTCGGTGCAATAAACTGCAGCAACGACGATTTTCCAGGTAAGGTTTAGTTTTGTTTGTTTTTCGTTTAATCATTCATTCATTTTTTTTCACTCAATCCTTTTAATCGCTTTTTCATCTATTTATTTTTTCATTCATTCATTCATTCGTTCGTTCGTTCATCCGTTCAAACTATCAATTGTTCGTTTATATCGAGGATATTAGTCTGGATTTAAAAATCATTTGTTATTTAAACAGGGAAAGAGAATGATTTCATGCAAGACAGAGTACGCCCTCGTGAGCCTGAATGTTTCTGTCTCCCGTCCATCGGTCTGCCTTTCTTGTTCTGCTTAACGACCTTGACCTATTTTGAAAAGATGCCGGCATGAGTTTGAGAACCTGCTCAATAAAGTTTCCACTAGATGGATTATCGGTTGGAAACAGCAGCCAAACAACTCAACTTTCTCCAATTTATATGTTAGTTTTTTATTTTCTTTTAAAAACTTTCAAAAGATGTTTTATTTAGATTTAAATTTTGCAACAACTCACGTAAGAGTAATAATAGCTGTCATGTCTGTTAGTAACTAAACAAATGACAAACAAAACGAACAGAAAAAGCGAAAAAAACCATCAAAATATTCCAACTGAATAAGGAAATGATGTGAAGCGAGCGAGGTAGGCAGCATTTGCATCGTACGTACTCGATATCCTCTCGTGATTTCCGATAAATACATCTGATCCTGTACACAGTCAGAAATAATTTTTTGTATGTAGCACTCATTCGGACACACGCACGCACACATTACATTCTGTATTTATGACGACGCATGACGTAGCTGTAGTTATTATAGTGTATGTAGGATAAACTTTTATACGAGTTTTTCAGTTACTACTTGGTTCTACGGAGTATTTTAATTTACAAAAATTTGTTTTTTTTTATTTGGTTTTAGCTTTTATTTGGTTTTTGCTTTATTTTAAGGTTTATAATTCCTAATTTAAAATAATTCATAATTCACAATTCCTAATCCATAATTCAACTTTTAATTCAGGTGGTATGCATGCTGGCTACCTCTGACGACACCAAACAGGTCAAGTCAAACCAACAGCTAATATGATAATAAAATAATGAACTTCAGTATTGAAATCCATTCTCAGTCACGTGATAATAACGTTCATCGTATATTGACATATGTATGATACAACTGTTCTGATCTTACAATTATGTCTATAATGTTATTAATAATTAAGCAGTAAATATTGTTGTTTAATTATTATTAAGTGACTTTGTTCACACCGTAGTAAGAGTAGTTCTCATTAGATTGATTAATTGGCTAGGCGCAGACGATATGAAACTCAAAAGTTAATAATGCATATTTCATTTTGATTTAAGGCCAATAAACGATTAAGATGAAGTGTCAGTTGTTACTGGAACCTTGCTACAAAACTTTCTCACGCTTCTATTGAAGCAAAATAGCCAGCAACGACTGTAGTAGAGTCAACAATTGAAAATTCTCGAATGAAATTTTAAGTACCTACCTAGCGTGTGTCAATCAGTTTCACCCTTTCTATCTATCTATCTCTTGCAAGCTCTCTCCATCAACATTATACCTTGAATCTTTTTCAATATTATATCATGCACCTCTTTTTTTTCCTCAATATTTTATCTTGTATCTTTCTCGATCTCTCAATGTTTTATATTGCATCATTTCTTTTCCTTCTCCATCCTCTCTCTCTCTCTCTCCTCTCTTTTACCACTTTTTTTTCTGATGACTCGCGTTGAAACAATTACTGTTAGCGAATGAATTTATTTGCGTTATTTTACTCTACATATAGTATTCATACGTGTATAGTTTGTGTTGTTGTGAGTGCGTGTGTGTGTGTGTGTATGTATTTCTGTGCATTAGTCAATTTTATGTCTAGGTATTTTCTACCATTGTTCTTGCATAAGTACGTTTAATACCAGTTAATTTAAATAGCGAAAATTATTGACTTATGTTGAGTAGTCGAGTGTTTGATAACCTTTCAAGTTTGGACGTTATGGGTTGAATAGATGGATGGATGGATGAATGGGTGGATGAAGGAAAGACGAAACGAATAAACGAAAGAATGAAATATTAAATTAAATTGTTTATATTATAACTAACTCATCTGTTTTTGATGTTAACTTGTGTAAGAAAGTATATTCATTCCTGTTGTCGTTAACATGTTCTGTTGAATTTGTTAGCTTTCTCATTAACACTTATCAAAAATAAAGCCTCTTATTTTGTTTTGCTTGGCATAAGCCTCTACGTTTCATATTCATGATTTATCTATCTTCTTTCATGTGTTCAAGCTCTTTAAAAGCATTCATGGACATTGTATTTTTTTAACATAACAGTAAAATTTAAAAAAATGATTCGCGCTAATCATGTTAAAATCATCTAATCTTGGATTTATTTAATCAGCTAGTCATTCTTACAAGAACATAACAACAAACAGTTCATTCCTAAGTTTAAAAAATGACACTTGAAAAAAGCAATCCTTAGCACTCATAGGAATATCTGTCTGTTCGGTAACTCAGTGAGAATGAAGTTTCAATTAAATTCGAAGTCGACCATTGAAATATAATTCAATTTCTACGCTGTCTATCATGCAGTCTATTCATTATTCCCAACTATTTTTCTCTGAAATAATCATAAAATAAAATAATCATAAGCATAAAATATCAATAATAATAATAGCAAATGTAAATGTGTGAAAATGCGTTGAAAGTTTTTACAACTGTCTTCGAATGAATATATGTGTAATATTTTGTTTGAGAAGACAATAAAAAAGCGCATTTCGTAAAAATACGCGTAAGCACGCACAGCAGAAGAAGTCTGTTCAGTTCCGTGTTCGCCAGTGAATGAAGAAGTAGACGTGTGTGGCGAAAAAACAACACGAATGCAACTGTAAAAAAATAACTTTCGCTCCAGACTCTGTAAAAAATTGTGGAAAAAATCCTCAAAAAGAGTTACAAATGATAAAATGATGGTAGAAAAAAAACACTGAAAAGGAAGACAAAAGCAATAAGATTGTGCCGTGAAGAAAAGTTGGTCTGCCATCATTTTGCATAATGACCCCCTTTAAAAGATCGCATCAGAAAATCAGAATTTTAATAAAAGTGAAACAGAAAGACGTAAATTTTATCTGTCCATACATACAGCTTTATATTTTCATTTTATGGATGGTGATGATATGATGTTAATCAGGTTGATGAGAATGATGATGATGATGACGACGATGATGATAATGATGATGATTTTTTCTGATTTTATAAAAGTTTTTAACGTTTTTTTTTATTTTGCAATGACCACAGCAACTAACGACAACAATACTAAAAGACATCAACGGTAAGAAAGAAAGGGAGAGAGGGAAGAGAGTTACAGGAAAAACTGTTTCTACTCATTACCATGCAAACGATAGTTTTTCATGGATGTGCTGGATGGATGTGGATTGTGGATGCCACGTTTCGTTCTCGTTTGTTACACCTACTTGTCTGTCTGTATCTGTCTGTGTGTAAGTCTATATATGCGTGTGTGTGTTTTTGTGTTTGTGTGTGTGATGTGTGCGTGCGTCTGCGTGTGTGTGCGGATAGATTTGGAAGGCACGTTACACTGACTTCTTTTTGTTTGTCCGTCTGTCTGTATATTTGTCTGTGTGTTTGCGTTTGTGTGTGTCTGTTTACATGTAAATCAGTGCCTGTGCGTGAATGAGTGTGTGTATGTTTGGTTGTCTCACCCTCTTTCTCTATTGTTTCTCTCTCTCTTTTCTCTCTCTCTCCTCTCTCTCTCCTCTCTTTCTCTCTCTCTCTTTCTCTCTCTCTCTCTCTCTCTCTCTCTCTCTCTCTCTCTCTCTCTCTCTCTCTCTCTCTCTCTCTCTCTCTCTCTCTCTCTCTCTCTCTCTCTCTCTCTCTCTCTCTCTCTCTCTCTCTCTCTCTCTCTCTCTCTCTCTCTCTCTGTCTCACTCCCTCTTTTTCTAAATAAAGATGAAAATTATTAAATTATTCCAGCTACTGTGAATTTATTTACAAAACTGTAAAGATTTGTTAGAAAAAAATAGAAATGGCTAATGTTTTGAAAAATATTATAATATACGAAATAGAATTATAAAAGCTAAAATGATATTTGTAAAAGTTAAAAATTTTTTTATTGGAATGAATCAAAATTCCCAAAAAAATGAATAATGACGACAACACAAAAGTTGCCATAAAAATAAAGTGCGATCTTAAAGTTACTTCGTCGAGTTGTCTTTGTTAGGTAGCATTATACAGGCTGAAGATGTTGTGTAGTGTTGTTGTTGTTTTGTTGCCACGTTCTTACAATACTATCGCATGTTGTTGATGTGATTGTATGTGTATATGTGCGTGTGGGCGTGTGGGCACGTGTGTGTATGTGTGTGTACTCGCGAATGTGTGCGTCTGTGTACGAACGCTGGAAGGCTTGTGTTTTATTAGAGGAATTGATTTTTGTTTTTTGGAGAATTTACTCACATAAACATTGTTACGTTCATTGAGGAGTTGTTGCGTGGAAAGCAGAGGTTAAGCAAAATAAAACAAAAACGAAAAAAAAAGAAAAAATAGGAAAATGAATAAAAATAAACTAGCGAGCAAAAGGTTGGAAGAGAGTGGATGCAAAAACATTGGGGATGAACGACAGAAAAAAAAATTCATAAAAAACGAAAGATAGAAGAATTTTTATAAAAAAAAATGAAACATTTAATGTGATAGTAAATCAACATTTAAAAAAAAATCATCACAGACCTTATTAGCCCAACGAATAACTAAAACATTTATCGTAGTATATAAACAACCTATGGCTCATTTCACACACAAACTCTGACAAAATTTAGTGCAAACAGAATTATAAAGATAATTGAAACGAAGCCATAATTTTGATATTTACATTTGAAAAGTGTTTAAGTAAAAGATGAAACTCTAAATGTTAAAGAATGGTTGTTTTTTCAAATATAATTTAACAACAGGTTTTTAAATTTATAAATTTTGAAAAAATTCAAAGATTAATAAATTTTTAGGTTAATAAAATTAATCTTATTCTTTATTTGCATTTATTTGTCCGAAAATGCACAATGAAAAATATTTCTATTAGAAAAAAGTAAAACTAATGAGAAGTAAAACTTTTTAGGAATAATTTTTTATGAACCAAATTTTGCAAACCGAAAACAGTTTGAAACATTTGAAATCATCAACACAGATCCGATTACTTTTAACTCATAAACAATAAACAAAATCTACAAATAGTGAGAAAATAATAATAAACAGAATAATAAACAGCCAAAGATAAAATAGAACAAAAAAAGAAACAAAAGGAAGATTATACGGAAGATAATTTGAAAGTTTTTCAAGCGTTCCTCAAGTTAACGCTAGCGAATGTAAATGTGCATGTTCCGCCATCTGATATGCCTTTATTTATTTCAATAACGTGTGCCCGGCATGGAAATGTATGTGCGTGTGTAGATGGACGCTTCTCACGTACGTACGTGTTTGTCCGTTTGTCTATTCGGAAGACTTCGCTATTTTTGTTTGTTTGTTTGTTTCGTTTGTTTGTTTGTTTACAAGTACTTTCGTTTGTTTGTTCGTTTGTACGTTGTTGTGTGCGTGTGTTTATGGTTCACACGTTCATTTGTTTGGTTGAGTGGTTCGTTCTTAAAAGTTTTCATACCGTTTGGTATTCCTCACCTTTTTTGCATTGCACGCTTCTTATTTATTATCTTGTCTATTTATTGATGGGATCTATACATTTTCAAACTGGTTATAAACATCAGCCCGAAATAGCTGTGAATATAAATTGCATATGAGAGTTGCTCTTAGCTTTCCTACATACTCCACTGAATTCCACGTGATATTTTTCTCATGGCATACAACTTAGTTGGTACAATGCCAGGATGGGAATGAAGGCAGAGTAAGGACCCTGTATTAATAAAATTATTACATAGAATGAATCCGCCAACTCTTAAAAAAGGCATCTGACGTTGAAAATAAGAATTAATTAGGTAATTAAGGCTCCTTAACTTCTCCAAATCTTTCCTTAGATATGTACAATCAACACAAAAGCACCAAAACAGTGTCTATTATGGTGCACAAAAATTATAAATAAATAGTGGTCGGAGAAAACAACCAACCAGACAGACAGACGGACAGACAGACAGACTGCAGGCAGACAGACAGACAGCAGGCAGACCATCTACTACATACACAGACGAGTTGATCAGGAATTTAATTTGCCGAGGCAGCGAACCATTAATTTAATAAATTCATCATCGGCCGGCCAGAGTTATAAATCTTTCAATAGATGGCCAGAATTATAAATCTCGCTGCAATCGCCAGGTGATTGGAAGTGGCGACGATGACGATGGCGACAGTAACGATGGTGACGACGATGACGACGACGATGATGATGGCCATGGTGATGATAATGAAGATAAACATCAAGATACCTGATGATAATGAAAACTGGAAATATGTAAAACATAAGAAGACAATGATGAAATGTTCAAGATGAGGACGAAAATTAACAAGAAATGAAAATAAGGATGAAAAGACGATAAAAAAGATGATGATGATAATATGGAAAAAATGTGATGATAATGATGAGGAGGAGATGACGATGACGACGACGATGATGATGATGATGGTAGAGAGGATGTTTCAGATGACTGCCTTGTAAACGGATGATTTGCTCTTGTTTTCCAAAATTGTCGATGTTGATGATGACGACGACGAGAATGATGATGACAACGATGATGGCAATGATGATATGACGTCATGATAATAAATGATAATGACGTCAAAAGTGATGTAGCCAATAATGGCATTGACCGTGACTTTGTCTATAGATTTGATTGTTTTTACAGCGTTTGTGAGAAAGATGATGAAGGAGATGATAAGAATGATAACAAAAAGTTAATGAAATTATTGATGTACATGCAAATGTAGAAAAAAAGTTTATAAAACAATAATAATACTGTGAAGATGATGTATAGTTAAAGGGAAGATAAGTATTGATGATAACAAAGATGATAATGATGAAGACGATTGCTGAAATAATGATAACGATGACAAAGTGCTGGAACAATAGCAACGAAACAAAGATGAAGGTGACGACGACGACGATGATGAAAATGAAGATGATGATGTCAGTGGATTGAGGGAGGAAGAAATATTTAAAAAGAATGAAAGTTCTCCAGGAATAAGATGGCCGATTGACGGTTCAGCGATGCGTGAGGATGAAATGAAGATCAAACAATGACGATACATCGTGTGAAAGACTGAAGGAATGAATTAACAAATAAAAGAACCAAAATGAATAAAAAAAAATAAATGAATAAAAGAATGCATGCATGAATGCTTGAATGCTTAAACAAAAAAGTCTTTGAAAAATCAAATGAATAGATTGATGAAAGATGAATATAATAAAATTTGAACTTTTTGAAAATTTTGTAGAGAATTGAACTTTGAACGTATTCGTCATCGTCTTCATCCTCATCACCATCATCGTCATCTTTATCATCGCCATCCTTATCATCATCCCCACCATCATCATTATCATCATCAGTGGTGACCAGGCAGAGAAGGGATTTCAAAAGAATTGAACCGGCACTCTCACAATTGATTTTTCATCACTGCCCAAACATGACTGAGTGTCTGACATAAATCTTTGTACTTAACTACATACATACATACATACATACATACATACATACATACATACATACATACATACATACATACATACATACACATATATAAACGTTCATACATACATAACCAAAAAAACATGCCTGCAAAAGTCAAGCATTATAAATACAAATAAACGTTCATTCATATATGTAAATCCATGTATTTCATTCGTTTTTCCCTTTTCTTTCTCTCTTTCTCTCTCTATCTCTTTCTCTCTTTCTTGCTTTGATGTATATATGTGTGTGTGCGTGTGTTTGTGTGTGTGTGTGTGAGTCTCGCATGTTTGTACGTATAAGTACAACCAACCTTTAATCAATATTTATCCACGAGAGAGATTTTAAATTTATAATATCCGTATAAAAAAGGATTGGGATAAATCCATCTCCAGCACTCACTCAAACGTTCATCTCTCCATTTATGAAGGAATTTACGAATGCCAATAACTAAACAAATGCATGCTGATATTGCTTAGTATGTCTGTGTGTTGTGTGTCTGTCTTTGTGTGTGTGTTTGTGTGTGTGTGTGTGGTGGAGTGTAGAAAATTTTATTTAAAGTTACCATCAAATGTTATGGTAAAATTATGGAAAAAAGAGTTATATCTTTGAGTTTCGTTGAGTTTCGTTGTCATTCATTAAAATAAGTACAATCCAGTTAAAGAAAAATTAAAACAATACTCAGCAAACTACGTCACATTTGGTTCTACTGCTCGCTCTTCACCATTCTACGACGGTTATCAAACGAACAAAATTATTTGTTCTTGGGGAGGGGAAATTCTTCCTGTTTCTGTGTGTAATGGTTATCAAAAGGAGTGATCAAACGTGTTAGAGTGTGTTGAGTCATAAAAGTGTTTCAGAGATAACTCAAATAACTGTTAACTTTACTCTACCTCATGCGCTCAGATATAATTACCTCATACGCTCGTCTATTATATACCAGAAGACCTTGCTCCTAGGAGCTTAACTAGTTGTCTAACTCCTTCTAACTAGTCAGTCCCTGTTGTATGTCACCTTATCCTTA